AAGCTGTATTGATAGGAGAGTTAAAGAATTAGTATTGTGGAATTTGAAATATCTTCGTTTGTTTGTACATTGTCATAAGGATGCTTGTGAGACTTATTCGCATGTGTACAATGGGTAATTTCATTGAATATCTGAAGTTAGATATTTTATCACATGTTTAATATCGTAATTTTTCAGGCTTATTAAATATAGCTTTTTAAATATAGCTTTGTTGCTTTTAAGCTATGGTTTATTATATGATTACTCATTTGCCTTCCTTTTGTACTTTCTACAGCAATTTGTAGGAATAGTTGTGGAGATGGATTTTGTTCCCGTCCTAACATGTGTACTTGTTCCAGCGGCCAAATATCACCAACCTGCGGATCAAAATCAAGTATGTTTCTCATATGTGGCCTTATTTACTGCATTCTCCTTAAGCTTTTCAGTAAATGCTAAATGGCCTTAATAAAGAGGATAATAAATCTGTATTAATCTGTGGAGTAAAAATCTTTGATGGCTTAGTTGCTGCCTCAAATGGGTAATGATTTTCAGTAAGAAAAATACTTTAATTCTGGTCCATGAGCTAAATGTCTATGCAGTAGAAGAGCCAGGATTCAGTGGAGAAGTAATTCTTTCTTAATAATAGCTATAACTTACTGGATTTTTATTATATGCTAAATACTGTTTTAAGTGTTTGGTTATATTACCTTAGTTAATCCTTACATTGATGTTATGAGATACTATTATTACCCTATTTTACAGAGTAAGAAAGTGAGGCACGCATAAGTTAAGTAACTTGCCCGATGTAATGCAGACTTGAATCCAGGTATTCTGATGTGTACGTCTGTAGTCTCAAACACTAGGCTGTATTTATCACCTTTGCTTAATTACTGCAGTCCATATCCTGTTTTGTGGGTTAACGGAGGAGAAGATTGGGAAGATAACAGATATGTATTGAGTACTGACCAGATACTTTACATGTATTAACTTATTTTGCTTTACACATACTAACTCCCAGTAACTCTGTAAAATATAACAGTGGAGTAAGATTGTGTTATGTGTGACCCAATTAGAGATTATTGGGTCTTTAAGGTCCAAGATTAATCTTTTAGGCCCGTGTTGAAGAAATTATAAGAACACAGAAGCAGACATTGTTTATGTAATTGCTCAGTAATTAAAGAAATGCTTTAAATATGCCTCAAACTAGTGTGAAGTTGTTATATTTTTTATATTATTTTCTACAAATTTTCCCTAAACAAAGGTAACGTATAGTCTGTCTGACTCAGGAATAAGACTCAAGTTTCATACAACAGATGTCATTACCTTCTGATGAAACTTCTGATGAAAAACTCTACTTTTAATCTTTAAATATGATCTGCCATTTTCCCAGCTTTTTAAAACCTATCATCCAAATTCATTGAGACTTTCTTGACCACCCTGATCAGCACATTGCCTCTACTGCTTGCCTGAACCTGTCTCCCTTGCCTGATTGCCTGCAAGATGCCCTTGCCCATATCTTCATTATCTTATCCTTCGTTTTCACATATTTTCCCTTGGCAAAAAAACCCAATCCTGGAGAAATTTTAAGATTCATCTTCTTCCTTCCTTCCTCTGGACAGCTGAGTGTTCACTGGCCCACTCAGTTTGTGGTGTGTAGATTTAGCATGAGTCCCTTCGTTCATCTGGCCTTGGGGAGTATTCCTTTCCAACAGGAACTTTTCTAAAGCTTCTAATCCTCATCCTGCTTGACCTAGCTAAAGCTTTTAGCACCATTAATCACTGTCTTCTTGAAATGCCTTTTCAAAGAATATTTCTGTAATACTATTGGCTCACAGTGCTCTTTTTCTTGATTATTGTTTTTTAGTCTCTTTTCTATATCTTCCTCAGCCTTTCATTCAAAGTTTGGTATTCCCAAAAATTCTGTTCTTCCTGGGTGAACTTATTTACATATATGCCTTCATTTTCTACCAACGTGTTGG